ACTTGAAAAAAGTAATCTGATTACGTAACTTGCGTTACTTGTAATGCGTTACCCCCAACACTGCCTGTTTTTAGCATTGTCCACTGGTGATCGGATCGACAAAAACACATCTTAATACCAGGTGTAAACAGGGCCTACGTTACGAATCTCCACCCACACAGAAGTCACTGGCAAATCAAGAGTCTTGCTTTTGGTCGGCGCTGCGGATTGACATGTCAAAGTTCGCCAAACAAAGAAAAAATTAACATTGGGAAGTTTCTTTGCCACCATTCCCATTGAAATTTCGACGATTCTACATGACCGTACCTTACAACATTTGCTGAATGCAGAGTTGCACTCTACAAGAGGTTTGAAGTCCATAAATTGCAAAAATGAACATGTTTTTTCCTTCACAGATTACTACTCGAGCTCGGCCACAGACTCATCAGGGGCTCCGCTACTGCGCTAACACGCCAGCTGTTCCCTCTCAATTATTACTGCCTAACTAGTGTTCATCTCTGTCCTTGTGCTCCTCTCATATTTCAGTGAAAGCAGTTATGCTAAGGACAGTTTGTGTTTGTCTGAATGCCCAAAGACTGCTGTCGTCCCACAGCTTCTGTCATGAGTGTAATGTTAAACAAAGGAGCCTGTTGCAAAAACCAATGGTTTCCTACTGCCCTCGCCAGAAGCCATGTGGATTGTTACATAATGGACAAGTTTCCTGACCAAACCATTGGCATCAAAGGGTATCTTTGTAAAGGGTATAAGTATTGCTTCTAATTATCGTCATAAGCGGTGATGTATCTAGTAAATATGCATGTATTCGGCACAGATTAATAGCAACAACGAGACTTGTTTTTTGTTTAAATGATTTAATGCAATTTAATGTTGTTTTGGGACTGTTTGCGGTCACCCACATCTGTATGGTGGAACGTCAGTTTTGAAATACTTTGTACAGATTTTTTTTTTTTTTTTGGCCAATTTTTTTTATTGAAATAAAAAGGGAGCTTCCTCTCATTTTCTGTTTTTATTCATCACCGTATTAATTTAAACTATATGCATCATTTTGTCTATTATACTGAGCGTGTTGTTTTAGAAAACAACTGTAGTTCTCTATCACGTATAAAACATATTTACACTCATACGTGTTAACCACAGAAATTTTCTGTCTTTACCGCATAGCATTTTTCTCAGAAGATTGCATTGGTGTCCGCCTCCTCCCTCTGTTTCCCTCAGGTCACTGTGCTATGAACTTGTTTGGCTGGTTTGACAATAGAAAGGAAATAAAATCCTAGTGTTTGTTGGAGTTGTACATTGCGGAGGAGGGGCAAACTCCAGAGAAAATTCCCCTCGCAACTGTCCTCTTTTTGACACTGTGCCGCCTACTGTAAAACTAGCTACTCCGTTTTACTAGTCAAGATAGTTTTGTCATATCTAACATATAGTTTTTAAGGATTAATGGGGAAATTACCAATCACAATAATAATGTTTTTTTTTTTGTTTTGTTTTTTACATGGGCGTGCTAGCATTCTGTTGTCTTGCTTTTGGATTGTAAACCATTTCGGACTCAATTAATTACATGAAATTGCATCTTTCTTAATAAATTTTTTGGTCAGATTAGCAAAAATTCAGATGTTTATGCAGGATAAGATTGAAAATCCAAAACAACCATTTCATTCTTGAGATAAATTGATACTATAGTGAAAGTCATGCAAATGGTTATCATTCTAAAATGTATCATTTCATGTGCTGTATTTTTTTTAACAAGTCATTTAACATCAAAAAGTTATTTTTTTTGGCCTTAATCATCACAAGAGGGCACTATAGTACACACTATCTAGAGAGAATCTAAACCTGGAGACACTGATGCAATAAAGACCAGCTATGAGTTGTTTTCATATGTATTTGTGTGTATGGTCAGTTCAGACATTATAATATTATGTCTTTGATTTGTGTACAAATCTGTACATCGAGCGCTATTGTATAGTTTTTGTAAAGAAAATGTCCAGAAGTCCAAACTTGTACAGAGCACTGGTATTTAGGCCATCCGGAATAGCATACTACCATACTACTAATTCTGCATAATATGTGCACATTCTATGTAAATATGCATACCTTTTGTCCGTGCATGCTAAGACCTGTATGCAACAGGTCACACTATTCTACATTGGAATGCAACTTGTAACAGAAATGTGGATTAAAAATGCAAATTAACATTTTTTTTCCAAAATGAAAACTGGATGCTATTCTCTAACATGCAATGTTTGAAACGGTTTATAATTGCAAAAAATTGTACATGCTATTAAAAAAAAAAATGCAGTATGCAGTTTCAGTGTCCTGGCCAGGATTTCCAAATCGCCTAAAATGTCTGGGTTTTGACTTTGTTTTTCCTTTTGATTTGCTCGCTACAGTATAGTCCTCGTACATTAAATTGCTTTGACCGTTCCCTGTAGATCCCACCTTTTCAAATACTCTTCAGTCATTACCTTCAGCCAAAACCTGGACATTTAATGCAATATACATGTCCTGGAAAAAGAGGACGCAAGATCACCCTCTATGTTCATATGCTGCTCAGTGTATGTCCTGACATCACAAAAGCCACTGTTTAAGCACCAAAGAAATGGAATTTCTCATAAGTCACTGGCAGAGCAATCATCTGCTATAAAAACAAATACGCAGGTACGTACTGTTCAAACAATGCGTTTACCTTTGTGCCGCTGACCCTGTGGTGTCACCATCAGATTTCCTCTGGGTACACACGTAGCAGCAAACACAACTTGTTTTATTACAATTACGCAATCTGGACTTCTTTCAGAAATAAACCTGTGACACTGACAAAGCATGAGGCTGCAGAAGCCAATGTTTGCAACACAGCAAACATGGTTAAGGTTGGAAAGAAATACTAGCTTACTGAATATCGCGTTAAACAAAATGCGTACACAATCGCACAACATTACATGTTTAAAGGAACAGTTCATCCAAAAAATGAACATTATCTGAAAATGCCCTCACTTTCAGACCTTCCGAGATCAGGATGAGTTTGTTTCTTCATCAGGTTTGTAGAAATGTAGCATTGCATCAGTGTCTCAGCAACATTTTTTACACTAAATTACATTTTAACATGACACTTTTTTAACACCAAATCTACTGTTTTAGCATTTCAAATTGAACAAACTTCTTTTTGTCAAAAGTGTTGCTTGTGAAGTGTATTTGTGCATCTTTTCCTTCAGGATGTTTTCACATTTATAAACATGATTTAGGTGTCCACACTTTTATGGAGGATTATGTACATTAGTTAAACTGTTTTAGGGTTTCTCTTGTATGCAAGAAAAACATCAAATGTGAGAATTGTTCTAATTATAAGTTCAGTATTCATAGAAGTGATTTAGAAGCACATGACAAACACACGGGTTTTGATAATACCAAAATCTGTAAAAATAGATTTAATTGCAGTATATTTATGAACATACAAATGTTTTCCTCTAGCTTTCTCACAGAGACAATACATGAACCTCCCATAGGTGCGGAGATCTTTTCTAGAGAGTTTCATCAAGGAATACTTTGTAGTTTCACAATCATCCCGTACAAAACGCTACAAAGGTGCTTCCAAAAAAAAAAAAAAAGAAGGAAACAATCAATAAATCACATACTGGTGACCTAAATACCATTACAAAGGTGCAGTAATTTCATTAAACTGTGTAAACAATAAAGCTGTGCGAAAGTCTGTAACTTGTCAGATATTTCAAACGTAACCCTTACGCAGTGTGATTTTCATCCAGCGCTCGCACCTCAGCTTTCCCACGAACACTGGAGAAGATAACGCTCTGTGGAAAGTCTGTGAGTCTTTGGGTCGCTACCTCGAGAAAAGCATGTCGATCAACAAGTCCAGCAGATCTGCCTGACCGATGACCGGCCGAAAGAAGAGCTCTGTGATGAGGCTCGGAGGGATGGTCTTTAAAGCGGACGCGGTGAGGAGGATTCGAGCAAACCGCCCTCGATCCTCTGGATGAAGAGGCACCAGGACCTCCTTCAGAGCGTGCTGAGCTTCATACTGCAGACCCTCGATGAACAGAGATGCCTTCAGACCCGGCACATCTGCAGATGGAAAATAATGCGTGAGTGCAAAATCTATGGGTAAACGCAATAATTCAGGGTACAAATTATAAATATAGATAGATAGATAGATAGATAGATAGACACAGATAGATAGTCAGATGATAGATAGATAGATAGATAGATAGATAGATAGATAAATAGTCAGACAGACAGATAGATAGATAAATAGTCAGACAGACAGATAGATAGATAGATAGTCAGATGATAGATAGATAGATAGATAGATAGAGAAATAGTCATATGATAGATAGAAAGATAGATATATAGATAGTCAGATAATAGATAGATAGATAGATAGATAGTTTTAAATAATTAAATATATTTGAATAAAACTAAATTATAAATACATTGTTTAATGTTTAATTATATATACATTTTAATTATTATTTATTAAAATTAAATTTTTAATTAAGTCATTTTAAATAATTCAATATATATTTTAATAAAATAAAATTACAATACATTATTTATAAATAATTATTTATTAAATTATAGATAGATATAATTTTCAATAGCTATATATATTTAAATAAAGTAGCATTTTAAATTAATTAAATAAATCATTTTTAACAATTAAATAATCAAATTAAATTACAAATACATTATTTATATATAATTATTTACATAAATTAAAATGTATTAAATTAAATTATAGATAGATATAATTTAATAACTAAATGTTATTACAAGTATAGTCATTAAAAAAATTAAATTATAATAATTTATAATAACTTAAACTCTATATAACATTTAAAAGTAAATAAATAATTTTAAATAATTACATGTATTTTAATAAACTTAAGTTAAGAATACTTAGTTTATAAAATAATTATGTATTTATATAAATAATTATTAAATTACATTTTACACACACACACACACACACACACACACACACACACACATATATATATTCAT